TGTACCCCAGTTCTATATGCATAAATAAACAAATCTTAAAAAAAAAAAAAGAACACATGATTTCAGATATTTCAAGGGTATGATGTGAACATTTATCCTTAAAAAATAAATAAATAAATACAGACACTCCCAAGTATTCATACCGCAAGAAATTCTAAACTGGGCCTGTCTGGGCAGGACCCAGGAGCCCAGGCCTGGGTGCAGGAGGGACGCTCACGAAGCAGCAAGGGAGGAAGGGGACAGCCGCCTAGCCAGACGGCTGAGTCAAACCAACCCTGACAGTCACTGGGGTGACAGCCAGATCGCCCTCACATCCAGTAGAAGTATCCTTCACTAAGAATAAAAGCAGTTAACTTATGCAAAGCATTTAACCTCTACCTATTCATCTAACAGCCCTTGAGGTGTGGGAGCCCTAAACCACTCTCGTTTTAAATATTAGGAAAACTTGAGTGCCTAACACCAGGGCTCAAACACACACACCTTGCCAAAGGCATACATCTAAAGGGGGTTTCTCCACCTTTCCTACCTTTCGCCTTGATTGTGGGGTTAAGTCCTGGCTGCTGTTCCATGGGGGTGACTGGGGAGAGGGCACAGCTATAACTGCAACTGAGACCAGAGGCAGGTCTCTAACCTCACTGCGTCCCTCAGGGCCATCCAGCGGGGGAGAGGGCCACCAGACCCTGAACTCAAGAGCTGGCTGGAAGCTTTCGGTTGCCATCCACTTCCATGCGGTTATTAATATTCCATCTGGGTAGGGCCCACAGGTCAGAGAAAAACCAGGTGACCCTGGAAGGCAAACAGCCGGGACCCATTGACCTAAAGGCAGGTAGAACTGCTCTTCTTGGTCCCCATTGGCCCGTGGGACCATAAGATCAGAGCAAGAGCATTCCACATGGGGCATGGGTCACAGGCTGTGCAGGAGAAGCTTGTCCCTGACCCCGACCAGCGCCTTTTCATTCATAGTCTTCTCCAGGAGAAAGAGCAACAGCCTCCTGGTCACCACTATCCATGCTCTGACTTTGGCACACATTAGCTCTGTGGCCTCTGCATGGCCTGGATCAGAGTCCTGATCTTCTGCCGTGTAGAACAGGTGTGATAAGACGTCACAGGGCTGCTCTGGGACTAAGACCATTCCCGCACTCACTGGGTGAGTCTGCACCCTCCTAGTGCCAGGCACAGTCCCGGGGGGGTGGGCACGCAGGAAGATAAGGCAGCCCAGACGCCAGCTCTCCCGGTGTGTAAATTCTAGTGGGGATGGCAGACAACAAATTGCAAATGGGAAAAAGAACAAAAGAATTCCGTAGAGCAATCATTGCAATTAAAACAGAACGGCAGGGGAGCTCGGGCTGGGATTCCCACACGCTTAGGCTAGTGCCTGATGTAGTAGGTGATCAGTACA